TCGAAATGGGACCCATGTTGAGCCTCCACAAATCTAACAGTACCCTTTAATCCGATTACGGACCAGAGGAAACCTGAGCCCTTGGCTAAATTTATTTGAGCCACATATAGCCTCTTGGAGCCATTTTAGTTTTTTTTTTTTTTTTTATTTATAAAAAAACTTTACTAATCTTTATGAAAATACGTTTAGAGCATTTCCATTAATAGTGAGTAAAATATTAAATTTTAACTCCCATCACAATTAGTAATGCTCTAAAACGTATTTTCAATAAAAGATTAGTAAGTTTTTTTATAAATAAAAAAAAAAAAAATACTAAAATAGGCTCCAAGAGGCTATATGCCATGCTCAATAAATTTAGCCAAAAAGGGCTAGGGTCCTCGGTCCGTAATCGCATATAAAGCGTACTGTTAGTTGTGGAGGCATCAAACATGGGTCCCATTTCGATAATATCGAACCGTCCAATGTGTAGAAGCTCGTCGAGACTTATGCTTTGATAAACATCACGTTGATCAAAATCGATAATATCTCATCAGATCAAATTTTCTGTCAACATTTTTTTTCACCGTCCAATTTTTTAATACAAAATGATTCTAAGCCATGTAGCTATTGATATCCGATCGATGTGATTTTCATAGACATATAGTACTCAAAACAGGTTATAACATGGACGGTTCAGAAGTTATCGAAAACGGGACTCGTGGTGGGTCCCTACGAGCCCAGGCAATACCTCCAGTCTGTATCGGACGGAGGAAGCTCGCCCCTTTATCAAATATATATATTGATTTTCAAAAAATAAGAAGGGAAACTTCCTATCCCGGTGGATTAGTATCTTATTTATAAATTGTCATAATTTTATTACAAATTTTTAATATTAATACAAAATGTCTAATCTCATCACAAATTAATATTAAAAAAAAATATTGTAACCAAACTATAATTTTTTTTTAAACATAAATCACAAAATTTTAAATACTTTGATTATATTAATTGTATAACAATATTACATATTTTGTTGATTTAATATTACGAAATTTATGATAAAATTATCTCAATTGTAATAAAAAAAAAAAAAAACCCCCCCCGCCGAGACCAAAAAAAAAAAAAAAAAAAAAAAAAAAAAAAAAAAAAAAAAAGAAGAAGTGAATATGAAGTTATTTATAACTAAACTTCTAAATTTTTCTATATTTTTCTTACAAAATTTCCATCTTAATCAAATGCTTACAAAAAATATATATATATTTTCTTTTCTATTTCATTTCATTTCTTTTATTTCATTTTCTTTTACTTTCACTTTTTACTATTTTTTTTTAATCAAACGAAGCTTACAGTTGAGTGAACAAATCAAACTCATTAATCATTATAAGAAATTGATTAGTATGATTGTAGAGTTCCTCATAAAATTGGATAGTTGAAATTAATACACTACATTCTCTAACGATATTTTATATTTTTTTAATTTCAATAATGTTTTAAAAGTTGATGCGATAATGATGTGAACGAGGAGAAAGATAGAATGGTTTTTCTTATTTTTTATTTTGGGAAAGCCAATTCCCTATTACAATTTGAGATAATTTTATCATAAAATTTCGTATTATTAATCGCAAAATATGTAATATTGTTATAAATTAATATAATAAAATATTTAAAATTTTGTGATTTATGTTACAAAAATTTATAGTTTGGTTAGAGATAATTTTATCATAAAATTTCGTAATATTAATCACAAAATATGTAATATTGTTATAAATTAATATAATAAAATATTTAAAATTTTGTGATTTATGTTACAAAAATTTATAGTTTGGTTACAATATTTTTTGTTATATTAATTTGTGATGAGATTAGACATTTTGTAATTAATATTAAAAAAATTTGTAATAAAATTATGACAATTTATAATAAGATACCTATCCACTCGGGTGCATAGGAAAGGTTTCCCTTTTATTTTTTGAAAATCAATATAATATTTAATAAAGGGGCGAGCTACCCTCCAGTCCGATCACAGACTGGAGGGTATTGCTGGGCTCGCAGGGACCCACCACGAGTTGTTATTAATTTGGATTTTTTATCTAGCTTTTGTTATTTGCAAAAAAAATGTAGGAATTAAAAGATAATACAATGGTTCATAATGAATTGATTTTACATTCCCAATAAACTGAATTAGCTGAGCCAGTAAGTAGTAGAGTGAATATGTTATAGGTACGTGTTTGGTGGGTTAAGAAATGAAAAGCGAAGAAGGAATTTTTGAAAAAAATAAATAGAATTTGATCTTAGATAATGCAAATTTATGTTGTAATTTAATGAAAATTTTAACTTCACTTATTCAAAGTGATAATAATAAAAAAATTAGGGTTTATTTCTTTAACTTAAAATGTGTGCATTGAGATTTTTTTGTTCTTAAAAGATGTGCACAGAGAATTTTTTCATATAATATTATGGGTGTTGTTAGATGTCTATCATGATCATTTTAATTTAAGATATAATTATTATTAAATTAAAATTTCATTAAGTGTATCTCCAGAATTAATTAAGTATGTGAAAATAAAATTTCCCTACTAATTTTGAGATTTCGCGTATTTAAATCAGCTTATCCCTAAATTAGTTGGACCCAACTTATCAAAACATGAAACAAACTGTTTTCCATTATGTTGGGACATTCTACTTGTAGCTTTTTAGTACACATGCTGTCGAGAGAACAGTAATCAAAATAAAACCTAAAACATAAGGGGAAAACAAACAATTGAAAAAAATATTTTTTGTACAAAAAAGGAAAATAATATATATATATATAGATGGATATTTTTTTAATTTTTTATTATTTTTAACTTTTCAGCTCTGAAAATATTTACTTCAAATACATTTTCTTCAAACTCTATATAGGGGTGTTAATTTTATTTTTGTGTGCGCGCACGGGGAAATGATAGAGGTGTTAGGTTGAAAGAAATTACAGGGGTGTTAGGTTGAACCCCTATTATTTGATCAATGGACAATATAATAACATTATAAATTCAGACTTATAAGCCCAAAATTTATTCAAAAAAAAACAATCATTAGTTTAAATTCATTTTATTCATAAATTTTATATTTTATCAATTTAAGTTTTAGCTCATAAACACACGGGATAACTTATGAGTTAATAAAAGGGATGTCATAGCATTTTTGGTGGGCAACATATGCACATCTTTCACCCACACTCACATTCGCACACAAAAAAAAGTTGACCCTCATCTTTTCATACCATTAAAATTCTTTATTTATTTTTTGATAACTTAGGTGTCCGAATCAGCTTGTGCGCACCTCGACTAATCCTTAGGGGACTAATCCCACCGTCCACTAGCGGAGGCCCATTTAAAGCCAGAGCAAAGTTCTGTATAGACTGACCCAACACAAAAATTAACAATACCTAAGAGGTTTTGAACTTACCATTAAAATTCTTTAGTGCACCACAAGTCGAGGCTGACTTTGTTTGGAGCCCAAAATAAGCTTTTTATACATTAAAAAAAAAAACAAAAACAAAAAAACAAAAAAGAAAAAAAAAAATTGGACTTCTAACGTGGATCAATTTTTTAACTTTTCTTTTTTGGCAAAATTAAATTGGTTTGTAATTTAAATTTTATTTAAAATTTTTGAACTTCCTAATTCTTGAGTATAAAATTCAAATTATTAACTTCAAAATTACTAATCAAACTTGTATAATTCAACTTATTAACTAAATCCATTCAATTTTATTCTAATAACATAGTTGACTAAAGTTAAGGACATAATAGATGACCTAGTGATATATGGAACTGCCAATTAAGATAGTAAGAATGTCAAAAGTTTAGAATTGCGACTTTTTTGTTGTATTCTAACTTGTTAACCCACTAACATCCTATCGTTTACAAAAAAAGAAGAAAAAAAAAAAATGATCAAATGTAAGATTTAATCAATTTTAATTTTAAAAAATTTATTTCATAAAAAATAATTGTAAAAAGTTTTTCAATTTTAAATGGTCAATAGCATTCTATACATAATCCATATATTTAGAAAGCAACTGTCCATTAGTTTCAAATTCCTCGTCACTATATAAAGTTATAAAATAAAAGAAAAAGAAGACATACATTGCATTTTAGCTAACACTTTTTCTAGTTACTCCTAACTTCAAAACATCATTCCCATGCCAATATTTCCCCCTCTAGTTCAAGCTCCTCAACTCATCATAAAATTTATTTTATAGAATGATTGTCCAAATAAAATTCAGCTCTTGACAAAGAAATGTGAACTCATTTTCCCTGCAAGCTTTTCTCTTTATTTTTTTATTTTTTTATTTTTTTTCCGGGGATAAATATAGCAATGTAACAAATGAAACAGTTGGAAACAAAAAATACATAAGAAATCACACTTTAATTTAACAACATTTATATGACAACAGTCTGAAGTGGTGCTACCCAAGTAAAGAGCATTTCTATTCCTAAATCATAACAATTATTCTGTTCAACAATATTCTTTGAAATAAAAGAAGCTAAATTTTCTCTGGTTATTCGTAGCAAGGATGTGTAAAATATCGCCTAATCGATTAAAATCACACTGATCTGCATCAATCTGCATCGCTTAATCCACTAACTGCGAATTAAACTTTAAAGTTTATAATCTGCCTTCCAAACAGTCCCACTCCGCTATAGTTAATACATATATATTTTTTAACTTCCAATGAAATATTAAAGTAAAAATAAGTGTGAGAGATATTTAAGATGTAACATTTGTTAGAAATTAATAGTTATATATATGAAACATATTATGTAAAATTAGTTCGTGTTATATATATATATATAAAATATCATACAAATTAGTATTATATATTATGCAAATGATTGATAATTAGTTAGAATATTTTTCAATACTTTTGCCAATCCGCTAATCTACCAATTCACCATTTGGTTTATAATTTCTCTTAAACCATCCGAACTGCACCATGCACACCCCTACTTCCTAGCAATGACCCGAGCATGAGAATACATTCCTGGCTTGCTGAAATTTTTGCTTTAGACGGTATAGCTTGGACTGTAACAACCATGTCATGAGTAAACTTTACTATAAACTATATGATATTTCTCGGGAAAGCAGTACAGCTCCAGCGGAATAGGCATAAAAACAATGATTAAGCACTCACTAATGCTAAACATTTGAATGAGGCCTTGGGTTGTCTAACAATGTGAAAGCGTTAAATTAACCTAAATTGCCTCTTATCGGGATTACTGAATAACCTAATTTTATCATTATTTTGTATTTTAACTTACTGCTCCACTATTCACCTAACAGAGACGAGGCTAGCAGGTCCTGGAGAAAAAAAACTCTTCTAGCAGCCTGTCTCATCCTTTCTTCTCGCTCTTCGTAACTCAACGACGGATCAAAACTGCAAAGCAGAGAGAGAGTTAAAAATAAGACTTAAAAAATAGTAATTAAAGCAGCTCAGGTGCATAAAATATGAGTAAATGGGTGCAACGGTTAAATCGCTAATTGTTCCAAAAACTTAAACTGTTAGAAAATAGGCCTAACAATATACATCAAGTTATCTAACAGACATACAAAGAGAAGCAAAAGTGAAAATGGGTACCAAATGTAAACGAAGAGAGTTGAAACCAATAGCCCTCCAAACTTGAGCTTTCATACCATGTCAAGTCATTAATTGTCCAAACAAGGTTGAGTTATTAGAAAATGAGTCCTATCAAGCTATCTAACAACAACATCAAAAGTAGTGATTCAATGTCTCCATGATTTATTGAACATTAAGCATCATTTGGTCCATCAGAACAGTGATTCTACCCATAAAAAATAGTGATTCAATATTTCTATGATTTATCGAACATTTAAGCATCTCTAGGTGCATCAAAACAGAGGTTCTCCATAAACTTGCTTTGGAGCATATAAAGCAGAATGTCTAACATGATTCTTGATGCACTTGAAAGATATCAAGAACACATGAAGTTTGTAAGATTATACATTTTTCCCAAAGATGCCAAAATATCAAATGAGTCTAGATTAGGAGGACCATCGCTAACCCATAAACAAAGTGACATGTTTCCTAAAACTTGTGATGGTACACTAAAATTATCTATGGAACACTAGATGATAGGATGAGACTTTCTATCAAAATAAGTAGATCTTGACTACATGAACCATACTCCTACCTCTAGGGTTGAATTTTTTTTCATCGTATGGCCTTTCATCCTCTAACACAACTTAAAACAATGAAGGTGGTCAAGAATCACCATCTACTAGAGATTGCACAGTGTAGGGGGTCATGCTGGGTGAATGAGCCCTTTTATTGTGCTTATGTGTTTGTTGACAACTAATGCTTCATTTGCCTTGTTTCGGCAGAAAACATTTTTCGGAAACGTACAAAATATTTTCTGATATTTGGTTGGGACCTTGAAACTAATGTACTTGGTTGTATTAGTGGTGGTGGTGGAATGGAGGTGGTGGCGGTGGTAGTGGTGATGGGGTAGTGGAGATTGTGGTGGTGGCAATGGTGGTGGTGTTGGGATAGTGGTGATGGCGGTGGCAAGACGTTAGTTTAGAAAAGTTTTCCATCCACCTAAATAAGTTTGTCTTTTGTTGACTACATAAAACATTTCTATTTATTTTCATTTTTTGTCACACCAAATGCCAGAAAATATGGAAAATATTTTCCAAACAAACAGAGCTAAAATATTGGATATCCACCCAAGTTGAGGAGTAGACGGGGTGCTTAAAAATAGACGAGAAATTTCTCTGTACCATAAGAAACTATAGTGACCACTACCTTGCTTTCCATATATGTGATGATGTCACACTGTTAACAGAATTTTCCTCAACATTGGATAGCAAGGATTTTGAAATATCTTTTGATTCAAATGCAGGGAAATTCAAAATAAGAGATGAAAGGAACGGATCAGTAACAGCATTAGATGAATTAGCATTGCTCGATTGATATCCACTCTCCTAAAAGAACCTGCAAATGGGCCTCACGAAGATCCTTTCCCAGGAGGGACAGTGCCCAACTGTTGGGAATTGCAACTCTACGTAACCTAGGGGTGAGCAGCGGATATACCGATCCGTCAAAACCGACCGAACCAAACCGATCCGCCGCATTTTGGACGGATGCGTGATGACGAGCGGACGGTTGCGGATTGATTTTCTCAAATCCGCCAATTTGGCGGACGGATGGCGGATTTGAGATTTTTTGGCCGCAACCGAACCGCCAAACCGCCAAATCACGAGCACCCCTAGTAATTTATAAGACTTTATATCTTTTGATTCAAATGCAGGGAAATTCAAAATAAGAGATGAAAGGAACGGATCAGTAACAGCATTAGATGAATTAGCATTGCTCGATCGATATCCACTGTCTCCTAAAAGAACCTGCAAATGGGCCTCACGAAGATCCTTTCCCAGGAGGGACAGTGCCCGACTGTTGGGAATTGCAACTCTACGTAACCTGCGACGTCTTCGCAAGTAATATCCAGTTAAAGAAACCTTCAATCAGAATTGAATATGGTTATGACATTAGCAGTGCCGTTATTATGATATTGTTTTAACAATGTATAGAAAGAATGGAGAAGAAGGATTCATGTAACCGATTCTATTTAATGGGACTTAAATCTTGGTTTGATTTGATTTGACTTAGAAAGAAAATATACAATAATGCTATGAAGCACGGGTACACATACGCGTACGAGTATTGGTACGATACGGGTACGTCGATACGGTAAAAAAAAAAAAAAAAAATTGAGTATAGGTACGGCTTAATACGTTTATAAAAAAATTTATTTTTAATTTGGAGCAATACAAAAAGTGATTAAATGATTTAATTTGTTAAGATCCAATCTACAATTAATATTTAATGTCAAAAGTCGGTATAAACTAAAATTAAATATCATTATATTAAATAACTTACAAACCATAACTTAATTTTAAAATCATACTAAGTATAAAATTAAAATAAAATGTAGTGAAAGAAATTTTATCTTTGTAATAGAAGAAAATATTGTTTCAGTTGAGATACGGTGTGGCTTGAGTATATATTAGGTACGTCTGAATATATCAAAAATTAAGAAAAAATAATTTTGAGTACGTGTTTTGTGTATTCGGTATGCATGTAAAAATACTATACGAAGTATCATACACTGATAAGTACTGGATATGAATACAACATGTTTGTCGAAGTACTCATGCTTCATAGCAGTAATGATATTTCAAAGGATATCTTGAATAAATGTCCATGTTGCAGAGTGATATGACTCAACATGTCCCTCGCAACTTTAACGGAGCATATGGGACAAACCAGCAAGTAAAAAATGAATGCTATGTAAGCTTCTTGTGACAGGATATTATACGAATCTGCACCCGACGCCCATACTCGAGTCCATGTAACATAGGGTATAAGTGTGTATGTAAATTGAAATAAAGCAAATTAGGATTTCCATACAAAAGGTCAAGGAGCATACATCCACCAAGGCATGTCCACATAGTATTTATTTTACCATACTTTAACATCTTCCTCTAAAAGAACTCCAATAAAGTGCTTTACCAAAGTGACTGAATTAACTATGTAGAAACTGCGTTAAAATTGGAAGCCTACTACTATCTCTCAAAATGAAACTAGATGATAAACCACGGTTATCATTAAATGAGCAATTCCCTTAGTTTGACAAGTTGAAACAGGTTCTTAAAGAACCAATTACATATCAATAATGCTCAAGGTTCTATTTTGTTATCCAAAATAGACCTTAAACAGAAGTTATTCAGCGACACTAGCAGTTTCCTGTTGTGGATTACACAATCTTTGTCATACCACAACTTAACATAGAAAATTCACGTCCTATTCAATTAGGATTATCCATGTCAAACCACCTTCATGGTCTTTAATCCCGTGCTTGAACATGTTCAAGAGAACACCAATGCTGTTATTCATTAAGTTGGCTTTATTTGTAGTTCACATGTCCATCTTTACAGCTTCAATTTCCTTTTATTAATCTTTTTTGCCAATTTAACTCTCCGCTATGAAACAATATATCTATATTTCAAAACATTTATATTTATATCCACAAATAGTAAACTATATATATATTCTATCTATAACAGCAAGCCAGTCACAACTCTCATATTGTGTTTTTCCATTCAAGTGGTCTTCCATATTACAGTAGGAAAATATGCATTCTCATCCAGTGATTTATGCACACAATAGGTGAGTCAAATGTTCTAATTCCAAATCTCCCCTGATCCTTGAGTGAACATGTTATTAATATTCAATTAACCATTAGCTTCAGTTAAAACAGACCAAATAATATCACAAATTCACACCCTCCAAATCTACTTCCTTCAGTGTTCTTAAAGAAGATTTCATTATTCTTCCATTAACAAAAAGAGTAGTTGAAAGGATGCCTAACCGTAAGGTCGAGTATGGAATATGAAATGTAACTCCAATCATAGCAGAAGTAACCACCCTCCCCACAACAACAAAAAAACAAAAACAAAAGATTGGGTTGATGTTGTATGTTATGAAGCATGGGTTCTTCGAAAAACATGTTATACCTGTACTGGATACTTACCAGCGTATGGTACCTTGTATGATAATTCTGCATACGTACCAAGTATACGAAAGACGTACACAAATTTTTTCTTCTTAATTTTTGGCGTACCCAGACGTATTTAGTATATACCCAAGCCGTATCGTATCTCAATTGAAATAATATTTTATTGTACTACAGAGATAAAACTCTTTTCACTAGATTTCTTTTTTATTTTTAGTTTTATACTTATTATGATTTTAAAATTAAATTATGGTTTGTAAATTATTTAATATATTGACATTTAATTTTGATTTATATATTTGCTTTTGGCATTATGTTAATTATAAGTTGAATCTTAACAAATTAAAACTATTTAATTAATTTTTGTATTACTCTAAATTAAAAATAAATATTTTTTACAAGCGTATCAAGCTATACTCGTATCTTACTATTTTTGAATTTTACCGTATCAACATACCCGTATATCAGTACCCGTGCTTCATAGGTTGTATGCATATGCCTACATTTTCTCCCACATATATATTATGAAGTGTACAATAGTTTCTTTCTTTAAAGTTAAAGGCGACATCATCCAACCACAAAACCTGACCTTATCCTCTCCCAAGACAAGTCACCATAGGCTAATCAAATTCATCAAATTTTGATTGCAAGCACAAATGATAGCCTATCTGCTTGCCTAGATTGTGACCTCTCAGCATACCCAACAAAGTAACAATTTCTTTCTTTCCTTTTTTTTTCACAAAAGGAAAATATAACAATTGATAGAAGAAAAATTGCTAGTCCACAAAATCTGATCACAAAATTAGAAACAAACCTTTTACATTTCTGGTTCTATTATCGGATTAAATGTTGATATAGAATGATTCAACAACAATAAAAGATTTAATTCGCACATTAAAAAAAAAAACAAAAACAAAAACAAAAGAAGCAATTTTCAAAATTTGATCAGATTGGATTTAACAAAAACAACAAAGATCAGAACTTTCCAACAAAAGAAGGAAATCAAAACATAACCCAAAAATGGAAAACAATTTTAAAGACTGAAATGATGAATAAAAACATAGAAAACTCACGGAGACTTCGGACTCGCACGAGTGGTCATTTCGAGGTGGGAACACAGAGACGCGATATCGAAATCCTCGTAACAGTATGGACATGGGAAATCTGGTCGTACCTCATCGTCAGCTTCGAAATCGTCGATATTCAACCCATCTGAAAACAAAAAGCACCCAAAACATCAACAAATTGTTCTCAAAAACCCATTTACGGATCGATCAAAACCCAATTGAAAACCAATAAAACAATACGAACCCAGTTGAGAGATTTGATGGTGGTGCAACGTGAATTGCCGCTTGGCGGCGGCGGCGAGGTGAGAGGTCCAGAAATCAGAATCCATCAAGAGAGAGATAGAGACAGAAATGTGGATAAATGAATAAAAACCAGTTCTAAAAATGTATTTTCGTTGTTTTTTAATTATTTGTTTTAGATTTTTTGTGTTTTTTTAATTATTATTTTGTGTTGCATGTAAATCAGATATGACAAAGGAATTGAAGAGAGATATACATTATCGGATTTCAATTCGGTTGTTTCAGAGGTTTAACTCTGTGTATGTCATGTGGTCTAAAATTTATAGGCAATAACGTTAATTTGTCCGTTGGTGTGGTTTCTCATGTATGATGGTCAACCACTGCTTATCCTAAAAGCATACAAAAAATCTAGCATGTTCAAGATTTGTCGCTATGAATAATTAGATCGGTAAATTGCATATTTGGTTTCCGATTATGGTTTAAATATTTTTCCACTTTAATTCCTCAATTATCAAATATTTCGTAATTTGGTTCAATTTGTAACGGATGTGATAACACAATTTGAATTTTTTAATTTTTGTTTTTTCAATTCACACTATTGATTTTTCTAAAATGCTTGGTAGCCCGAAGAGGGGCTTGAAAATGGTCCAAATGGGTGTTTACCGAACGTCCGTCCGGACGACTGGGTGAAAACTTGTCTACCGCGGTTGTCACCTTTGTCGATCGCAACTGTCAGCCTTCTCGCCAGACAACTGGCCGGATGTCCGTCTGGACAACCGATAAAATGAATTTCGAGCCAACTTTTTTTTCGAGCTACCAAGTATTGCTCTTGATTTTTAAATAATACTAAAATAGTCTCATATTTTCTAATATGAAACCTAACCCTACCTACCACTCGTTGTTTCCACCGTCATCAACTGACTATGCAGTCGCTGTTGTTCCTTTCCAACTGCCTTTCTAGCCCATGGCCCTTGTCTTGTCACCCCACGAACTTCTCTCTTAAGCCTTGTCACTCTCTTCCATAAGATACGGTCAAAAACCAAATCTTGAAACCTTCTCTCTCTCTCTCTCTCTCTCTCTCTCTCGTGTGCGTGTGCAGGGTAAGGTCACAAGAGATAAAAGCTGCAAAAGTTGTGCATTGCGAGGGAATTGTGAGAGGTGGTAGGTTGTTAGTAGCAGTAGCTGTGATGATGGTGGTCATGAAGTAGTTGGGCAACAACTACGCTACGAAAAATGTAGCGATAAAGCGAAGAGACTGGAAAATGGGTGGTGGAGAAGAAATGGGGTTCCTGGTAGTGGCTAGTAGTGGTGATGGCAATTGTTGGTGGTGTGTAATAATAGTATGTATTCACAGGCCCAACCCTGAGATTTGTGGGGCTCAAAGCCGATAATCAACTAATAAATTTCTAAGGTCCTTCACATTTTTTTTTTTCATTGAATGAAATTTTTTTTTGAAGGTAAAGGACAAAACATTTGTGTCAAAATCACAAAAACTATTTAGCATTACATTACAACAACTAATAAATATCACTTGATCATCGTTCTTTTTGCATTTTTAGAAGCAAATAAATCAATTATACTCGCAAAATCATTTTCAATGAATAACAATGCTAACCCATTTAATCTTTCTTGTGATATGGTTGATCGAAGGTAATTTTTGATCATTTTTAACTTTGAAAAGCTTTTTTTCCCTGATGCAACTATAACCAGAATAGTCAAAAATATCCCATAAGCAACCCATGAATTTGGGAAACAATTTTCCATCAACTGCAGATAATTGAGCACTTTAATTGATTTATTGACTTCTTTTGGCAATCTCTCTGTCAAGACTTTTAGCTCATTCAATATCAAAAATCTCACCATGTTTTAAAAATTCTTCAAGGTTTACACACCCCATATTCAACGATTCATCGCTGCACTTTTTCAAGTCAAACAAAAAGCCAAAGTTTGCCTCATATATTTTGAATTGTTCGAATCTATTTTTGAGTGAACAAAGGGCTTGATCAACAAAATACAAGAAGTAACCAACTGTAAATGATTCTTTAGCTGACTGGGTCACCTCTTCGCTAACATTCTCATCAAATTGTTTCATTCTAGAAATGATGCACTTTTCAACAAATGTAGGTTCAATTCCCAATTCACTTGCCATTTCTTTAGCTTCAACTATAGCCTCCATGAAACCAACTTCTTTATACATTGCAACATACTTAACAAGCCTATCTAGCTGCTTTACAGCAACTGCTATATCCATATCTTTACTTTGAAGAAGCTTGCTAGCAGAGTTCACATGAAACAACAAATTGTACCAAATTACAATACTAAATAAGAACTCAAAAGTCTCAAGTTTATGAGTTACCAGGGATTTAGCTTCACTTTTTGCAATCAAATCTATGATAGGATTATTGTACAAGTCAACTAAAGCATCTTTTATTTTTGAAGCAAGGTATCTTAGTGGTTTAAAACTTTTAATGCGACTTTCCCAATGTGTTTGCGACAATGACTTAACCGCGAGGCCTTTCTTTAGATTATCTTTTAAAATTGCCCAACGTTGAACGCAAGATGAAAACAATACATATATCCGTTGTACCACACCAATTTTTTTTTTTTTGTTTTAGAGCAAGAGTTGGCCATACCACAAAGCACAAGGTTAAGACTACGACAACCACACGGCATATAGAATGCTCTAGGATTTACTTGAAGTACTCTTGTTTGAACACCTTTGTTTTTGCCTTTTATGTTAGAGTCATTGTCATATCCTTTCCCTATTAAGTCACCAATATCAAGTTGAAGGTTAACTAATGCTTCTTGAAGTTTATCAAAAAGTCCCATCCCCGATGTATCATCCACATTCAAGAATTCCAAAAAAAAACTCTTTTACCGTAATTGGACTTGTTGAAACATCCACGCATCGTACAACAAGAGTCATTTGTTCTTGATGGCTAATATCCAGAATACAATCAAGTATGACCGAAAAGTATTTTGTTAGTTTGATTATCGACAAAATTGCACTTTTGACTTCCCCGGCCAACATTTGTATCACCTCGTTTTGAATTTTGTGACTTAAATAATGGTAATGAATCTCACCATTTTCTATCCGCCGCAAGTGTTGTTCCATCGTTGGATCAAACTCGCCAATCATTTCAAGTATGCTTAAAAAAAGTCCATTGTTTTCTTCATAAATCTTTTCCTGGCTTCCACGAAAAGGCAAATTATTCTTGGCAAGTGTTTTCACAACTACAATTATCATCAATAAAACCCATCTCAAGTGCTCTCTTTCTTTGTTAACTTGTTCTTATATACTTTTATCTATTGTTTGATGCTTTCCCAATCTTTCCAGGAATTCAATTCATTTGTTCATGCAAGTGATGTGCTCGTTACCATTTTCATGGCCTTTAAGTCTTTCACCAATATTTCTTCAGTCTTTAAATCCTTCAGTAGCCAATTGAGTCTTATTTCCCTCTTGCTTAAACTTACAACAAAAGAAAAATACTCTATCCAAAAGTTCAAAGTATATCAGCCATGTCTTGTCTAATTTTTCTCCATTTGGTAAAATGCCAAATGTAATGGACAGGTGAGAAATGCCTATGCCTCGAAGAATCATCCTTAGGGAAGTTGAACTCACAATTTCTTCTCATAGGACCTCTTTCAACTAAAAAATTTTGTAAATTCTGGTCAATTATTTTCCAAGTCCCTAGATCATTTATATTTGAACGCTCACATTCCACATTCATCCATCATCTTGATTGGCTTCTGCACTCCCAAATTCCCCATTTCCTTCTTCATTCACCAAATTTCCATTATCATTATTTACCAAAGTTTCAAATTCTTCATTATTCAAGTTTTCAACTGATTGTTTTGCTTGTTTGTCACTCGTAAAGAACTTATCAATATCTCCTCTTTGACACTTGACTAATTTTTTTCCTTTTTGCGAATCCAGATGGATAATTTCTTTTAAGAGTCATGATGAACTGAGATCAAAATACTTTTTTAGATCAAATTTCAAAATAAGAGCACCACCACCACTTAACAAAATAAAAACTATTAAATTATGTGATGTTACAGAGAAGGCCCTATGAGTGACAGGGAATAATTGTCTACAAGGCAACTAAATAATCTGTTATAGCTGTTTTAAATTTTTGGGTGAAAAAAAAAAGAACAAAACTTGAGAGAGGGATAGAAACAGTAGGTTTGTGGAGGTAGAACTGAAAAAAAACAGAGTGCGTGAAATAAAGGAGGCAGTAGCCATTGTAAGTATATCAGACAAACTATTAAACTTAAACAAATTACTAAATGTAAACAAATTCTTAAAAAAAGACAAGACAAATTCTTAAACAAATTATTAAACTATATTAGACAAACTATTAAACTTAAACAAATTCTTCTTGATGATGTAAATACCAATATTATAATAGCAATTGAGCAAAAGACAAGACAAATATTTAATTAATTGAATACAAAAAAAAAACCTACTTGTGCTTGCTGTGCTGCTGCTCATTCGTGTGCTCTGTTTTGTTTTGTGTGTGAGACCCCTAACTTTTGTAAACCTTATTAGGTCCCTAAATTTTGAGTTGTTATAATAAAGCCCTTAATTCGTTGATTGTTCGCAAATTAAACCCTAGAATCGAAAACGCATCACGGACGAACCTATACAAACCCTAATCGACCCTGGAAGCTTAGAAATTATTTCTGACACTCTAATATTAATTATTTAACTCTCAAATTTTAGATTAATTGCTCTAAACCTTAACTTCCGATTTTCACAGTCTTCGTTCGGTTGTTTACCTCTAAATTCAAAGCAAGATAATACAAACCGAATTATTTTTCATAACACTAATTTATTAACTCTACACTTAAAATAGATACTTTAATTGAGCCCAAGCCCTCACATTTCTATTAAATCACAAATTGACCCCAAACAAGTACCATATATATTTATATATACACTTGTACCCTAAAATCTTTTTTTAACATTATATTTTACAATTTTCAAGATTTGTACACAAAAAAAATATAAAATAAGTCCATCAATTCACCATCACATGGCTAGCCATCATACCTCCTAGGCTATAATCATTGTACTTTAGTACAAACAAATCCCTTGAAATCTTGGAGCAATAATGACTTTGGTACCTATAAAGATTTGCTATATATATGTGTGTACTTCTAACTAGAAGGTATTTAAATTAGCCCTAAACCTAACTAGATCATAATTAAATACATAATTAAGGTTCTAATCCTCTCTCATTCCATTACATTTAAACTAAATCAAGGCACTGTTCAATTGAATTGGAACCAATGGGCATTTGGGACTTTTCACACCAAATTCTCTATAAATATACCACTCATCCCCATTTATTGTGCACA